GGAAAAAGAGAGGCTGGTTAGGGATATGAAAGATCAGGTCATACAGCACCCTTATAGGTATTGCTTTGTAGGCACTACAAGGGCTTTGAACTTTACTCTCAGTAAAAAAGGTGAGGCATTAGAGAGATTTCAGAGCAGAGTTGACATGACTTGATGTAGAATTGACGGACATCATTTAGGAGATGAGTGACATGACTCAACTTACACTGTGGTTATCTTGTGATTTACTCAACTGGATTGTGAGCCTCTGAAAACAGGGGATATATCTTATTTATCTCTATAGACGCTATTGTTCCTGACATAGACTAGATCTTAATTGGCAAAATGTCTCCAGTGAACATCTGGTAGAGGTGTGCTTCAGAGTTGCAGAACAGTTATTTAGTCTTTCAGGCACTTCAAAAATGTCTATACCCAGTGTAAATCAATTTTCAGTGTATTCATGAATTGATATTTTCGATTTGGAGAATCTTCTCATTTTTCTTCTTGTGCCCTTTGTGCTGGCTATGAGAGTCATTACCTTTTTTATTTTTCCACATAGGCTGGAAAGAAAATACAAAACTGCTTTTTCTGGCATCATTAGAGGGTCATTTGCATCTATCAGTCATGAGTCTGACTATTCTATGGATTCTATAGTAGATAAAAATGAAAGAAGGGCCTCTTAAGGCTAGTTTAGTTGTAATATTGCTGCACAATGGCAATCTCACAGTAGTTCAGTTTTATAGACTCCCCAAACTTGATAAATCTAATTTCCTCTGTGTTTGTTTGGACACAGATGTAACAAATTAGATTATTCGGAATTAGAGAAGTTGTTCAGGAGAACCTTTACTTGAAGTTCAAAGGTACCAGCAAAGATGACTACATGCAAAGATGCAATATAGATTAGGAATTAATAAAGCATAGTCTATTTTAAAGCCTCTCCTTCAGTCTGGAGACAGAAGACAAGGCCAAATGGATGTCTCTGGAATGATAGACTAAGAAAGATCTATCTCTACATGAGTTGCACATTTTAATGTATTGAGTTCAAGTCTAGTGTCTTTCAACTTTTAATGTGTACATGAATTGCTTAGGGATTTGTAAAAATGCAGATTCAGATTCAGTAGGTTTAGGTCGGGCACTGAGCTTTGGCACTCACAACAGGTTCTCAGATGATGCTGATACTGGTCTACAGCCTTCATTCTAAGGGTCAAAGTGCTAGCAGACAATGTCTTAATTGGATAGAACATTAGTTAACTTTTTGTTGCAAATGTTGATTGCATCACCATTTGACATTGTGAAACAAGGTGTGAGGAATAATCGAGGGGAAGTTAACTAATATTCCAAGAGAGACTTATGTGTGATGACAACAGTGCCAGTTGCTTCACATATGCTGTTTTATAGACCTTCTAAGTGGCACTTTGAGACCTTTGTTTGGATGATGGATTTGAATATGCAGAAATGAGTCTTTTGCTGTTACTCTGTGTGGTATAATTCCTGAGGGGTCAGAAAGGTAAGTAATAAAATGTGTCATTACCCATTATTAAAGGACATAGTCATGTATTAGAATTACAACCCTTCAACAGAAGTTCTACACAGGTTGAATGGCTTTTCCAAAGTAATACGGTTTATTAACAACATTGCAGAAACTAAAATCTATGTCCATGTTGCTCTCCTTCTACAGTATTATGCTACTTCATGAGAGTAAATTTTTAACCAAATCCAGAGACACAGTGGAAATTTGATGTCTTGGCCATGCAAATTATGGAGTATTTTAGGAGTTGGTGAAGAGGTGTGTGTGTCTGTGTGTATGTGTGTGTGTGTGTGTGAAGAGAGTGGATGTGTGGATGTGTATAGTCGCCAGGAACTGAAAACATTAGAAAACATTAGGTCCTAAATGTTCTGAGAGTATTTAGGATGGCTAATGAAAAGAAAGTAAAATGGCACAGAATGAGTTAACAATGGCCAAAATCAAAGATGAGACAGTTGACCGTGGAAATAAAATAGAGAAACAATATATTTTAAAGGCATAAGAAATATAAAAATTACAGGAGCTTTGTTGTTGATTAGACAGGATAAGTTACAGAGAGGTGGATATTTAGCAATGATTTCAAGCTTCTATCTATTCTATGATGTCACTCTTCCTCCCTGGAATAGGCACAGAAGTGATAAAAATCACAGGCCTGATGATCAGACCAAACATGGATTTAAACCTTAACTTCGCATGTTAACTGCATGACTTTGGCATCTGACTTTTTACTTTTAAATCTCCCATAGAATTTATAAGAAATTGATGAGATGATCTATCTAAAATATTGAGTTCAGTTTTTGATTCTATATTGATAGAATATAAAACCTGTATCTATGAGACAATGATAGTGTCATTAGCTGCAATAGGTTCTCAAGGATTTTGAAGCTGGTTTTGAAGCACATGAAAAAGCATGAAGAAGATGCAGAGGCTACCATGCAGATGACTTGTTAGTATACCAAGGTCTGTGGAGAGTGCATGAGGTTCAGAATTGGGACACTAGGGTTAGATTTTTAACTGGACCATCACTGAGAGATGGATGGGTTTGAAAGGTATGATTAAAGATTATAGAATGAGAAGTATGAACAATGTCAAAGGCAAACTATGTGTAGTCATCTTTTGCCTAGAGTTGCCTTTCATATCTATGAAATATTGACTACTGGGTAACAACAAATTAAGGTTGTAGCAGCAAAGAACAGGACAAAAGAAAAAGGGAATAAATACAATGTAAAAATCAGGGAAACCATATGAAGACCAAGTAAATAAATAGAATGAGGAAGACTCAGAATCTTCATGTAGTCCAAACCTGGGAACACAGGGTCCAAGAAAAGAACATGTGGAAAATCTGGCAGAGTGGAGGAAATGGAGGAAAAATCATTGTCTAATTGTCAGAGACAACCATTAAATCCAGGAAACTCATAAGAACTAAAGAGCATAAAAACTGGTAGAGAAGAAAATATGAAGCATCAGTAACAGACTCTGATACTGAATGTATCTGATATCCAACCAACCAGAAGAGTCTGTCTTCTGATGTCACCCTGGAAAGGACTGATCCCAAGACAGATGATCTGAGTGGAAGCCTCTAGGCCAGGATAACCCCAAACATCTGCCTGCTTACAATAAAAGGACCCAGGCAGTCATGTTTCTCTGGAAGAGATTATCCTACCATCCGAAGTGCTCCTGGTTAGATTTCTTCTCCCTGCTTTCATCTTTCTGCATAGTGACACCAAACTTAGCCCCTAAAGTACCATGTTGGTTTTAGAGCCTTGTAGCCCCTGAGTCCTGGAGTTGCTTTTATTTTCTGCCTCACAAGGGAGTAGAAGAGAAGGAGAAAGTGCAGGAATAGGAGAAGAAGAAAGAAGAAATGAAGCAGGAAGTCAAATAAAAAAAAGAGACAGAGGTGTGGACAACTTTGATTCATGGCCCAGGTATCAGGCATCTCTGTAATTACAGGTGGCTATAGAAATAGGGAACTGCCTGGACTTTTTTTTTTTTTTTTTTTTTTTTTTTTTTTTTTTTTTTTTTTTTTTTGGCAGCACTTAATGGAAGAGTATTGCTCTCATGTGTATGCTCTATGGCATGACTTCATGCACAATTGGATGTTACTTGTTCATTCTTCCCCTTGAGAAAAATCAGAGTTTCTTAAGTGGGAGGTATTTCTCAGTCTGGGGAAGATAGAGACTTGTCTCAATCTGTATTTCCCCAGTTGTCATAATACATGAAAGACCAAATATCTGTTGAATAAAGTATTTCAGAGTGACATTTATTCAAGACTCAAAATATATCAGGTGCTTTATAGAGCAGAGAGATTGATGTAGTCCCTTAAGGCTTAACTTGTGAGCATCAGAATTGACTGAAAAGAGCTAATTTACCATTTTCCAAAAGGAAATGGGGTTGAGAAGAATGATTGTAGAAAAGTGCTTAAACAGAAAGAGCATCACAGCACTTTATTAAATTATTGTTTGGGATGATTTTGCAAACATCAATCTTTCTGTGACATTTTACAGGGTAACAAGATTTTGGTGTTTGTGAAACATCATTTTGAAATTACCCCAAACTAGAGTTCTCTCCCGTCTCTCTTTGTCAAATCGACACTGGGTACAAGCTTAAGAATCTCGAGTGACTGATGTATTAGCTAAAATTCTTTTGATTGCAAGTTACAGAAGTAAAGTTGAGTTAAATAAAAAGGTGTGTGTGGAGGGAATCTAGTGTAAAAGAAAAGGAAAGAACCTCAGGACAGGAAATTCATGTAGACCCCTGGAATGTTTTGGGAGTAAATTCTGGAAAGCCCTCTGGTGTCTCTCCTTTCTGGGCTGCACCTCCATGCACTTTGCTCTATCCTTCTTGATCTCAGCATATCTACCTTTTAGGTCGTGTTAAGTCTTTCCTGTAGCTTCTACATGCCATACTTTAATTTCAGTCTCCCACAGTTACTGCAGAGCAGTTTAAATCCCTGTTCCACGTTATTGGGAGAGACAATCTCTTTGCCACCCATTCTCCACTCTTTTAGGTCAGAAAGCCAGCCCAGTTTATAATATGAACATGGCATCTGGGGGCCCAGCTTTGTAGATTTTGGGGCATGGAGGGTGAGCAGTTTCCAGAAAAAGAAAGTTGTCGTGGGCTTGGTGGATATACCAAAGTCATTTATGCTATCATGCCCAGAATGCTGCCTGACACAGAGAAGACTCTCAATAAATATTTAGCAAAGGAAGTATTTGTTGACCAAATGCACCAGCAAGGGTAGAACATGTCTGCATTTCGAATGTTACAAGAATAGATCTTTATGAACTGATGAGCTGTTATAGTTAAGTTTTAACTAAACTTATATTAGTTAAGATCATTTGACTTCAGGCTGTTTTTATGCATTTGTGAAATCATTTTAAAATTAAAAAATATTATTTTCTGTGAGAACAGCACTGAATGACTTAACAATACACATCTTTGTTCATTTTAATATTTTTTTTCCTGTTTTTTAAATATTTATTTGACATTCATGAAGACTAAGCCTGGAGTAATTCGCCCAGTACCTGTAAAATCCAGAATATTACTGAAACAAGAGGAGGAAGTCTATGAACCCAACCCTTTCAGTAAATATTTGGAAGATAACAGTGACCTCTTTTCTGAACAGGTGAGCGTACACAAGAGAAAATGTTTGCTATTTTGCTAAATGACTATATAAAATAAAGATGTCTCTATGAATATAGTATGTGTAAGAACATGTTCATTTGACTGGAATATATTTGGTAATGAAAATGCTTGCATAATAAGTAGAATTTCCTAAATAATTCAAGAATAATATTTTGAAGCATTTTAATGTATGTGTCTTTTTTTTTTCTTCTAAAACGTGTCTATTTAATGCTGGTATTGTTTTGGGGACCAAGATGTTACTCTCTATAAAGACATCATGAAATCACTGATTGGATGGGTCATATAGGTGTGGCATTCTTATTTCTAAAATCCTGCTTCCAGCTGGGTAAAGTGGCTCATGTCTGTAATCCCAGCACTTTGGGAAGCCAAGACAGGAGTATTGCTTGACCCCAGGAGTTTGAGACAAGCCTGGGCAACATGGTAAAATCCCATCTCTACAACAAATTAAAAAAAAATGGCTGGGTATGGTGGCATGTGCCTGTGGTCCCAGCTGCTTGGCAGGCTGAAGTGGGAGAATTGTTGGAGCCCAGGAGGTCGAGGCTTCAGTGAGCAAGTGTTCATGTCACCGCACTCCAGCCTGGGTGACAGAGCAAGACCTTGTCTCAAAAAATAAAATGAAATCTTGCTTCCTTTTGAAGAGATGGAATATTTTAGATTTGATATATTAAAGTTGACAAAAGTCCTGTTTAGATCCATATTAACACAGAGACGATGCAGTCTCCCAAATTGGGCAGTAATAGTAACAGAATCAGGGCTCAAGTCATACTTAGGATTTGTTGTTCATTTTGTTTATGTTTGAAAAGTCTATACTAGATTCCCCTTACATATTATATATGTTGAAGGAAGTATAATGGAGAATTGTCAATGGTGCTTTATATTTGTGAAAAATATGAAAATACACATTTATGCAGTATAAAACTTCATAATGAATAGCAGAGATTTTAAATCTTTCTCATATTATAATGCAACAAATATGGGCTATATATTTTATTGAGAGATTGAAATATGAAATTAATAAGCAATGTAGGATATTCAAAAAACTTTCTGAATACAGTCAGGACATGTAAGATCATCATATTTTGTAATCTATAATAAAATAGATTTATAGAGGAATATAAGGTGTTATGCTCTTTTAAACTTTTAGTTTGAAAATGATAACTAACAATATTCTTGAAAATATAAACTATATCTAAATTTATATTTATAAAACATAAAGAATCTCTTATCTGACGTGTTAGCTCTGTGACCCTGGGCAAGTGGTTTCATCTATCTAGGCTCCAGTTTCTTTCTTTCTCTCTTTCTCTGTCTCTGTCTCTGTCTCTCTCTCTCCCCCCCCTCTCTCTTTCTCTCCTTCTCTCCTTCTCTCTCTCTTTCAGATGGAGTCTCACTCTGTTGCCCAGGCTGGAGTGCAATGGTGCCATCTCGGCTCACTGCAAATTCCGCCTTCTGGGTTCAAGCGATTCTCCTGCCTCAGCGTCCCGAGTAGCTGGGATTACAGGTGCCTGCCACCACTCCCAGCTAATTTTTGTATTTTTAGTAGAGACAAGGTTTCACCATGCTGGCCAGGTTGGTCTCAAACTCCTGACCTCAGGCGATCTGCCTGCCTCAGCCTCCCAAAGTGCTGGGATTACAGGCATAAGCCACCGCGCCCGGCTGGCTTCAGTTTCTTAATGCATAAAATGAGGTGTTCCGATTAGGTACCTCTTAAGAATCCTTTAAACTCTAAAATTTGCATTACTTGAAATCTATGATTAACCCTAACTGGGTCTGAAATCCCTATGTAACCTTGAAAAAGTTCATTACAAATGGTTTTTATTATTAATTCTAGTTTTTATTTACAAAATTCAGATGAAAATATTTTCCATTGATTTATATACACTTTGTGAGAAGGCTATGATTTTGGTAAGTCTGAATTTTTTAGAGGGCATTGATATGATAAAAAATGATAATTAGAAGCAATATTTTAATTTTGTGGACTAAAATATAGACCTCAAATTAAATTAAACAGGGAAATCTTGTTGATATATAAGGTTGCCTTCACTAATTCCGCACATAACAGAAATGGAAACCCCTGTGGGGAAAACATTTTTTTATCATTAACAAAAGCACTTATGAAATATCTATTGCTTGCATGATACTAATATTTTAGTGACTTTTAATATGAAGTTTTAGACAGTATGGGGTAATTATAAAATGTTTATAAAAATAATTTAGCACTTATATGAAAATCAAACCACTAACAGTTAAATTTCACATATTATCCATGTAACCTACTTTGTTCAAAATATGATCCAATGCTGGAAAATAATAACTTTATTCTTCTGTGTGAGTATAAATTCATGCATTTTACTTCAAGCAAGATTCTTTGTAGAATATCGAGTTAATCTACCTGTAATTTACAACATGTATGGTCTACTGAAATGATAAATCCTATTTTCAAGTGCAGAAAATCCTTGTCATTAAAAATAATTGCCACTTCTTTTCATTGCTTTTTCTGACTATAAAGTAAGTTTAAAGCTCTTTTTACATCACAACATAAATCTATTTATTTCTAAATACTTGGCTGAAAATTTGACCTATTTTGCAAATCTTAACTTACCACAGACCTAATCTTATTTATATTTTCTTTCAACCAATTTGTCCTGGTTTGTATCCCCATTTGAATGTGGAACATGAGAAGTAATAGCAGACAATGCATTGTCAGAATTGAAAGAAGCCTAGCATACCACTTAAAAGTGAATTCCAAAGGTCCCCTGGCCTTGTTCATTGACCTGGCATGAAAGGGAAAGATAAGATAGAACCTTGGGGCCACTGAACACCTGGGAAATGGCATGCATTATCAACTGGCCTTTTTATGTTGAGCTTTAACTGTCATCTCATTGTGTCCAGAATCTACAATGGAGGCAGATACCAAAACAGCTCTCAAGGGTAGATGCTTATATCTACTTAAAAAATAAATTGAATAATAAAATGTATAATTTCAGCATTGCTACTTCATCAGAACCTCAACAGAAGAAAGTGTACTCAAATTCAGTTCTAGTCACTATTGTCTTCTCTTACACTGTTGCCACAGAATAAATTGAATGGTTCCAAACTCAGCTGATCTCATCCACCCATGTAATGGAAAATTCTTTAGCCAGACAGTTGGGCCAAATGGAAGTAGCTCACATTCACTAATCTGCCTTGTACTGGGGACAGTTCCACATGACAGGAGATGTTGGATGGGATTGTTAAGTCAATAAATTTTTCCTAGCAGCTTCACTGCCATAAAATATGATTTCTCAACTCTTACAAAATATCAGACAATAAAGATGATAATGAGACTAGACAGAAATGTATTTACTATAGTTCAAAAAGGTGCAGCTGGGCAACCTTTTGACCTGATTGTGACCTGAAAATTTGCCTGGAAACAGCTGCTGAGTTCTGACAGCCAAGTTTGAAACCAAATGCATAATCAAGTAATCGAAACTTACTAGCCAACAACTTTTACATCAAAGTGGCATAGGCCAGGAAGCATCATTGCATATTAGATGGTTGTTTAAAAAAAAAAAAAAAGCCTTCAAAATGAAGATTATGCTTTGCTGAAATAGTCTTCATTCATTATTAATTAATCATTAATCTTCATTCATTATTCAATTAACTTATTATTGTGCCAATTTATGGTGCTTTTCAGTTATTACAAAATGTCCTCACACTTTGCCATAAATCTATGGATTTAAAAACTATGGTGGTGTGTTTAAAGCATATTTTTTATTGATAACTAAAGGTAGAGTTGGAAAATAATTAGCAAAATTCATTGGACTAATGGGCATCCAGAAGACATTCAGACTCAGAAAAGCAATTTGCTGATGAGAATGAAGATACTAAAGAGCTGAATGGTATTTAGTTTATTCTGACTATTTGTGAGTTTGCAAAATATATTGATTGTTTTCTGATCATTTAATATGTGTAATTAGATAAGAGGATTTCATTGAAGATTTGCGGTTTAATACAAAAAGGCAATAATTCACCTCATTTACATAAAGTGCTATGTAAAAATCCTCCCTCTTTCTTTTTTTTTTTTTTTTTTTTTTTTTTGAGACGGAGTCTCGCTCTGTAGCCCAGACTGGAGTGCAGTGGCCGGATCTCAGCTCACTGCAAGCTCCGCCTCCCGGGCTTACGCCATTCTCCAGCCTCAGCCTCCCAAGTAGCTGGGACTACAGGCGCCCGCCACCTTGCCCGGCTAGGTTTTTTTTTTTTTGTATTTTTTAGTAGAGACGGGGTTTCACCGTATTATCCAGGATGGTCTCGATCTCTTGACCTCGTGATCCGCCCGTCTCGGCCTCCCAAAGTGCTGGGATTACAGGCTTGAGCCACCGCGCCCGGCCCCCTCTTTCTTTATAAATTAATAATGCAACCCATATAATTAGATATATTGTTACTTTCTTAAAGCCCTAAGGAATTGTATGAAAAAAGGTTTTGGATAGAATTAAAGGGAGAATATTGTTTCATCTAATTTTCCCGAAATATTTTTCTTTTTTTTTCCATTTGTGAGAAATAACACTTTCCAGCATGTATGCCTCTTAAAATTTATTTTTCTTCTACTCTGTTTAAATGGGAGAGAGAACATATTTTCCATGAGGATGACCATTTAGAGAATTTCCTCCATGCTACCTCACAGAGAACATAAAAGGGTAATTATAGAGAATTTTCTTTGTTGTAGTATTTCATTCCGCTTTTCTCCTGAGTTTTTTTTTTTTAGACGTCTGACTTGCCTCTCTTCCCTACCAAAATGACTATGCTTGACATTCAACTTTGATGATTATGTCAGTGACTTTCAGGTTTCTATCTAATGATTCATCAAGTTGTATTTCAACTGTGACCTTCAACTTCCCTTCTTTATGTCACCCACATGTTACTATTATAGGGCAAATACCTTTGTTAAAGGGGAAACTGACAATACTGCCTTTTACTTTCTCCGAAAAACCCTGGCTTTGCCAC